CTATATCTCCTTTGTTTTTTGACGAAATGCTTCGAAATTTAAAATATAGTCATGCATTAGGACATCCTGCAATATGATTTATAAAAAAATTTCAAGAAATCACGCGCATGCACGTGTGCTGCAATCTGATTGGCTGAAACTTTAAATGGCTATATCTCCTTTGATTTTTGATGAAATGCTTTGAAATTTAAAACATAGTCATGCATTAGGATATTCTACAATTGGATTTAGAAAAAAATTCTTGAAATCACGTGGATGCACGTGTGCTGCAATCTTATTGGCTGAAACTTGAAATGGCTATAATTCCCTTGGTTTTCAACCAAACAGGATAGGATTTAGAACATAGATAGATATAAGGGCCTCTAACAAGAAGGTATGGTCACCATGCACGTGCACGCACGTGCGTGCATTTGGAACGAGTGAAATTAAAAATAAACTTGAATGAGTTAATTTTAATACTTTTGGACTAAATGCTTTAATATAAAGTATAAATAAATATATAGAAAGTGTAGACAAGATTATATGATCATTATGCACGTGCATTCACATGGGCACGCGTGCAATGTTAAAATTTGAATATAATTGGTATCCTTTTGGGAAAACGTTGTTAACAAGTCAAAAATGCACAGATGTTGTCTTATTTAATAAGGCTTGCATGGAATATGGCACCAAAAGGGAGTTGGGGAGCGTTTGGGGAACATCTGTAACGGTTCCCGTTACAATTAGCACTAGTTTTATCTATATTAAAAAAATAACGATTGTCAGCTGCATTTATTAGCATTTCGCGTTTTTTTTTTGTACATGCATATCTATTACTTGTATACTGTTAATTTCATTAGATAGTGCAAGTATAAAATAGAAAAGTTGGTACGTTATTTCCATAGTTTTTATTCATTCATAAATCCTTGGATCCACGCCTACAGGTGCGCAAAGCCTTGATCACTACTGTAAACAAAACATTCATATCGCCGAAAATGTTCATGATTCCGCTAAACTGAGAAAGTTTACACATGATTTATCATCTCATAAGAAACATCAGCCCTGTGCAATGCAGAAATGCTGGAATTGAAGGGGAAAATCCAGGAGTTATTGGTGGGAAAAATTCGGGAGTTATTATGTCGCCCCGAACGAAGTCGGGGACGACATATTGATATTGTACGCATGTTTTTTTTATCCAGGCTGTTTCTCGGAGATGGCTGGGACAATCTTCCTGAAATTTTCCCCGAAGGACTATCACTGGTTGTAGTTGTGCAGTGAGGTCGTTCAGTTCCAATATGTCTACCGTTGCCATGGAAACCTGTAAAAAGCGACGAATTTTGTCCGAGAGTGTTCTCTCTGGTCCCTTAAACGTTCGTCATGAAACTCTTTTTATTTTAATGATTAGTATCTGTAGTTGTGCGCTTTGCATTTAAAATTTTCAAATAATCGATTATTGCCATGGAAACCAGGGGAATGTTAAAATTCTTTAATTTCGATTTTCTCAATAACTACTCAAGCAATCGTTTTGAAACTTTCAATGTTAATTCCTTGCAATGTGTCAAAGTGATTTCTACTTTTAAAATAATTGAAATGAGTCGCTCACAGTTGTCATAGAAACGAAACAGAAAAAAGCTTAAGATGTACACATGTGTTCTCCAAGGTCTAGGTCAAAGGGTCAAAGTTCTTCGTGTCCAATAAAAGTTCATTTCATAAGGATTGCATATTTGAAATACGAAAGCCCTAGCCCTTACCGTTCAAACATTAGGTACTATGTTCAAGACGCCCCCCCCCCCCTTTTGAAGCGCACTGCCAGGTAGAATACACAGATATAACATATACACCTTACAAGTAACGTTTTAAAAGTTTCATTCATAAAATTCAGTTCTCCTGATGTGATTTGATAGTTTGCCAACATCCATTCTTCTTCTGTCTTGTCTCTAGATTTTACAATTAGTTTATTTTATCTATATAAAAAAAATAACGATTGTCAGCTGCATTTATTAGCATTTCGCGTTTTTTTTTTTGTACATGCATATCCATTACTTGTATATTGTTAATTTCATTAGATAGTGCAAGTATGAAATAGAAAAGTTGGTACGTTATTATGTTCCCCAAACGAAGTTGGGGAACATATTGTTTTTACTCTGTTTCTTATTAAGGTCTTCCGTCTTCAGCGGAAGACCTTCTTGTTATTCTTAGGTTTCTTTTCCACTATTTTTATTATTTTTATTATTGTTTTTTTTCTTACCGATTTTGTGCACGCGATTTCTCAGAAACGGCTCGATCGATTTTCATGAAACTTTCAGGACTGATGGAACATCAATCAAACCTGATATATAATTTTTTATTTTTATGACGTCACTTCCGGTTTCGAGATTTCCATGATTTAGTGATTTTCAGAGGGTCACATTGTCCCGCATTTTTCTCAAAAGTGCTTTTAGATAGAAACGTAAGATTTTCAGCGATGATAGAGCAACATGTGCTGATGTGACATACACCTTTCTTATTCTCCGGAAGTGCAGCACGTCGGCGCTCGCTTTGGCTCGAAAAAAGACCTATCGGGAATTTAGAAATTTTTCACACATTTTTGGCAATATCTTTTTACACGTTAATATTTTGTAAAGACATATAGAACAAAAGTTGTGAAGAATGTCACGATCTTTCGAAAGATATCAACGATAAGGGGCTGGCCCCTATAATAAAGGGCTAAAAGGGGCCGAAAGTTTTTCCGTTATATCTCATTAAGTATCGAAAATTTGTAATATGTCAAAGAAACAAAGTTGTTCAAAATATCAAGCTCTATCTAATGGCGTCGTCAAAATACGTCCGGCGACGTCACTTCCGGTCAAACCGGAAGTCGTCAAAAATTGCATATTTTTGCTGTTTTTGACAGGTTTTTGGATATCATATGTCACTGGAAGCTTAAAACTTAATTTTTCGTCCGTCGATGTCACTTCCGGTCAAACCGGAAGTTGCCAAAAATGGCTTAATTTTGCAATAATTAACATAGATTTGGAGGATTAAACCATTTTGGGACTCATTACTCTTTCTCTTTTTAAATGAAAGTTACTTCCGGTCAAACAGGACGGAAGACCTACTCGTTGCTTTGCAACGAGCTCGGCTCTAGTTATTATTATTTTTCTTCTTCTTCTTCTTCTTCCTGGAACTTTTTTGTCCGGGAATGATCTTGTAAACTGTTCGTCCGATGTAGGTAAAACCTTTTTAGGGTTAGTAGACATGTTATGTAGATTTGCGGAATCAAGGTCATTTTGCGCGCACGTGCTTGCAAGAGCGTGCACGTGCAACACGTGAAATGACCAATATAATAGATATAGCCACAACTTTTCTTTTGTAGATGAAATGCTTTGAAACTCATAATGTGAGGATATATTAGTAGTATAGACATGACGACATGGTGAAAATAGCAAGATCTCACGCGCATGCACGTGCACCTCACGTCATGCATTAAGATATCCTACAACATGAAATAAAGCAATTATCATGAAAACACGTGCATGCACGTGCGCTGCAATCTGATTGGCTGAAACTTTAAACAGCTATAACTCCCTTGGTTTTCAACCAAACAGGATGGAATTTGGAATATAGATAGATATAATGGACTTCTACAAGTAGGTATGGTCACCATGCACATGCATACACGTGCGTGTACATGTGCTGCAATCTGATTGGCTGAAACTTTAAAAAGCTATAACTCCCTTAGTTTTCACCCAAACGGGGTGGAATTTAGAACATAGATAGATGTAATGGACTTCTACAAGAAGGTATGGACACCATGCTCATGTATGCACGTGCGTGCACGTGAAATGAATAAAATCAAACATACACTTGAATGAGCGTATTTTTAAAATAATTTTGGATTACTCAGCTACGTTAAGGAAAAATATATGGGAAATAGTGGAATATAACATGTATAAAATGTGTGACATTAAAATTTCGATCAATCTGTAAAAATCTTAACAAGTCTGGAACTAATTATTTTTATAAGAATGTTGGACCTTTATTAATACACAAACATATGTTTTGCCATATCGGGGACATCCAGTCACGTGATTCGTCTAAAAATAGGCGATCAAAGCCAAGGTGATTAAATGTGCCTAGTGCAAGGGCTTAACGAATCCAATTATTTTAAAAAATGGTGTCATCTTATAGAGTAAACATCAGCGCATTCAGAAAGTGCTGGGAGCTTAAGTATCATAGCCATTCTCTTTCTATTTATTAAAAAAGAAATGCAACCAAATGCCAGATATAAGGGACTTTCCCAAAGTTTGAACCTCTCGACGCTAATCCACAGAGATTTCACTAAGCTCCCAGCACTTTTTATGTGCAATAGACATATATTAAACAGATACGAAAATCCCAACTAACCTTATCAAGTGTAAGCCCTTGCACTGCAGCCTTTTTTTGAACTGCACACATGTTTACAGAAATGTAGCTTCCAATATAAACGCTTACATGCCCCTGACTCAAGGGCAGATCACTCTCATATATTGACAATGCTTCAAGTTTTCCTTGGCGCTGAACTTCGAATTATTTTACACTACCTTGCACATAAACTGATTATTTGAATAAATCTTATGCACAAATTCTTTGATTTATTTTTCCTGTTTTAAAATGCACTTATATAACTGGCTCCTGAGAGAAATTGCCAATGCAACGGAACATTTTCTTCAATGTTCAAACCAGATACCCCCTGTACACACGCTCGCATTATCATTTTTAATTGCTCAACTGCTGCTTTCAACATGAAACTTTCTATGGAATTTGTAGTTATGTACAAAGCCTATGTTCATAAAAAAAAAAACTCACATATTGAGCCTTCTTTTGCCCCCCCCCTCCTTCTTCCTTCAGCATTACGCATTTTCATCAATAACCACATTGCCATTGCTTTGCTTTTTTTTTTCTTTTCCGATGGTTGACCAAATTTATAACACAGGAACAGATTTTTTTTTATTCAGTTTATTCAATACAAAATAATATATTAATGACAAATAACACTTCTAACATCTATACTACGCCAATGAAATATAATCCAATAGTACAATTTCATTATAGACATTCTGTTTAAGAATTTCATATTTTACTACGGTTATTAAAATTGTTCATACAATGACTCTCACCTGTGAATCTGATTAATTTCACTCAAACAAATAATTTTGAATTAATATTAATACGCTTACAAAATAAATAAACTGAACATCAAAAAAAAATTATAAACCAATAAAAAAAATTGATTATAGAAAAATTTTCCATTTTTCTGCTAAAAAAAAAAAATTAAACCACCCACACACAATTTTTTTTTTTTTTTTTCAAATCACACGACTGCGAGATTACATAGATGCCATCATGCCACCGAAAAGAATGTCACCTTGAGGTAAAAAAAAAATGAATTATTGTAATTTTGCAAAAGTTATTATAGCTAGAAATAGCAAAGACCCAAAAAGTATTGATTTCTGGAATTCCTACAGTCAAAAACAAAATAGTTCTTCTCCAACAGCGTCTAATGATCTTGGTAAATTCAGTAATCTATACACAGCGTCAAAGCGGTATGAATTCTACAACAGAGTCATGTTTAAATACCCCAAAATGCACGTGCCTTATGCAATATTTGTACGACAACTCCCAAGACTACAAAATTATTTACTGGAAAAATGCAAACAAAAATGGTGAGAAGGCACAGTTCATTAACAATTTTGGTTTACAAAAATGGTGCATGCTGCCTGAAAAAGGAAGAAAAATGCATAACTTGGTCAACTGCAGTCCATGCGAGTTAGAGTCGATGAATGAAACGGTTCTTCACAAATCTGTTAGTCAAGAAGCTTCTAACGTGGTATCAAAAAGTGAAGAACTATTCACAGAGGTTAAACAAATGAAAATGGCAAAACCAGAACAAGTCATCAAAATTTTAGATCCTATAATGGAAAAAGAATTCAACATTTCTATGAAAACAACAGTTTCAAAACACTACAATTTAACAGAGAAAACATCAAGTGCACAAAAACAAAAACAAAAAGTCAAACAAACAAAAGTAAACAAAGAAAAAATGCACTCAATTATTTCTGAAAATTCAAATGATTTGAACAACTTCTTGGCATCTGGCAAATCATTCAGTCAACTGAACAGAGAGCGCCTTGACACTTACTTTGAAACTCCAAACAATGCCAAAGTTAGAACTGAAAAACAAACAAACAAAATCAAAGAGGGCAAAAAAAGGCAAAAAAGTCACATTGGCTTGACACAGAATTATCAACTGAAAAAAAATGATTTCCTTGACTTTATGCAAAATCTCAAACCTGGCTCTAAAGTAATTTGGAGAAGTCTAGCCCTTAAATTTTGTCTTAGAAATAAGAATGGAAACATCCCCAAAAATGCGGGTCAAGTTATGAAAACTATTGCTGAGAGAAATGGAATTAACACAAACAAATTCAATACAAATGTAAGAGTCAGTGGCAGAGACTACTTTCAAAGAGTCAGGAGAGCCAAGATGAGACTTTGTCCCCAAGTCACCATTCCTACACCAAGCCCTGTTCGACATCTCCAGGATGACATCAAAGAAAAAGTCAAAAGCAATGAATTGTATATTGGTGAAAAAATTGTTCCAAAGACTTTCATCAGAAACAAGCTAAATTCAGCAGGAGATCTAGAAGAAAACCCCGTAACTGTATATGGACGGAAAATTCCAATCAAAATGATTCGAAACAGTATGAATCAAGACCAAAGAGAATTGATTAAACTTCGAACAAACACAGAATATGACAACATGACAGATGAACAAGTCGAGGACATTTTGACGTCAAAATATCACATGAAGAACTCAGGTACAAAAGAAGATCTCATCAAAATAGAAAGAACACGTCACCTAAAGTTATGGCACGACCATTCTGACATTCTTAATCATAGTTATGTATCATTCATGGTGTCTACACTGTATGATCCCTGCTTATTTCTTACAAACCAGGAATACTGCCAAAAGTTTCCAGATCGTCCTCCCATTGATGTTCAGGCTACAGTAGAAAAGCCATATCTTTATATTTTGGGTCAATCCAAAAGCACAGATCTTGACCAGTTATCCTATACATTGTCAAGAATAGAAGATCTTAAGGAGCTCCTCGAGCCTATAGAAATTAATGGAATACCTGTCCATGATATTATGCGTGTCTTTAGTGGTGATGGACCAGCAAGGCAGTTCGAGGCAGGACAACAAAGGGGAGGTAATTTCAGTTGCCTTTGTGGAATCCCGTCCAAAGAGCACCAAAACTTAGAATTTGCCTATGGATTCCATCCCCCATCTCTAGAGGATCGGTACACAATTTTCAAGGGAGGCTCTCTCTGGAGAAGATTTAGCTTGATCAATCCATCCCCATTTTCTAGCCTGAAGAAGCAGGACTTGCTGGAGGAGTTAGAGTCTAGAGGTTTGTTTCTGTATGACCTCAGCAAACCACAGCTTCAAGAAAAATTACAGTCCATACTTCATGGAATCCAGCGCCCTCCTGCACTGTTTTGTTCTGGTGAAAATATCCATGACTTACTGGCCTTATATGAAATCCCTGCCTGTGAACCATTGCATGATCTTTCAAATGTTGTTCAAAATATCATCACTGAGCTGCCGTCACATTTTGATGACAAGTCTGTGGAACAGGAATTTGAAAAATTTTCAGCAACCACCATAGGTGACAAAAATCAGATCCGTGGTTCTGATGCTCGACTCTTTGCCATTAAACTAGCTAAATTTGCCCTGTCCATGTACGATGATGAGAGAATCTCCCACAATATTTTGGAATTATGCACATCACTTGTTGAAATTACAGCTTTATGCTATATGCATTTCCATCAGAGATCACCAAAGCAGATACTCAGACTTTATAACCAAGCATTCAAATTTAGCAGTCTTTGTAAATCGGTTATCGGCATACCAAAGAAGATGACGGCTAGGAAATTTTATGGCAGCCATTTCCACTCTCTAACTGTTCATGCACCACAAACAAACAGGATATTTTGTTTACGATCACTTATTCCTGAACAAGAGGAGCGGTCTTTTGGTGATCTTCGCAACATTTCCCTGCACACTTCGAACAGGCAATGTGGAAAAGTTATTGACAACGCCATGCTCAGATTCACTGCTCAACAAAGAAATGGAAATAAAATTGATTACACTAGAGTTCAAGAGTCAACAATAAGCCATCAAGCCAAACTGCTTCCATCCTTTGGAGACACCACATTCTCATTAGAAATGGTAAAAAACAGGCCAACCCTTTTTCAGAAGCACTGCGAGAGGATTGCGGACTTTCTCCTGCCAGGAGAGAATCACTGGTGGTCATTCAATGGGAGTCACATCATATTCCATGACGGTCCATCTCGTCCAGAGTCTTTGGCTGAACCCCATCTTCACCATTTCCATCTCACAACATCAGAACAGCAAAATTCAATTCTGCACGAAACCTGGAAAAAATGCATAGGAGAGCTAGAGTCTGGAAAATTACAACTTCCCCTTTGGAAAGTTAAACTGTTCGAGGATGGGAAACTCGTTAAAGTCATAAAAAATGAAGGTATTTTGAATTCATAAAAATCAACAAATTTAGAAAACAATCATAAATTTTAAATATCTTAAAATTCATGAAAAAATTTCCTTCATGTCCAATCTTTTTAGAAATTAACATATTGAAAATTCATACACACAAAATGCATTGCTTGCAAACCCTTTAACATTGCATTTAATAGATCAATTCAGAAGTGTGGGACATGTAGCTGATGATGAAACGCAAACAGAAAAAGGGCACAGGAAAAATGGAAAACTTCATGATGAGGAGCTAAATGATGGTCTGGAGAAAGGGGCAGAACATGATGATGAGGCAGCCTGTGATGATGTACTGCATGATGTCGACAATGCTGCAGCCATGACAAGTAATTCAAAAATTAGACCTTGAAATATCCTCTAAAAACTAGATTATATAATCAAATATTGCCAATCTCTAAACTGTGTGAAACAATGTCATATGTCTTCTGTTAATTAGGTACATTGAGGCGAGGGGCATACAATGATGATGAGGCAGCCTGTGATGATGTACTGCATGACGTTGATAATGCTGCAGCCATGACAAGTAATTCAGAAATGAGACCTTGAAATATCCTCTAAAAACTAGATTATATAATCAAATATTGCCAATCTCTTAACTGTGTGAAACAATGTCATATGTCTTCTGTTAATTAGGTACATTGAGGCGAGGGGCATACCATGATGATAAGGCAGCCTGTGATGATGTACTGCATGACGTCGACAATGCTGCAGCCATGACAAGTAATTCAGAATTTAGACCTTGAAATATCCTCTAAAAACTAGATTATATAATCAAATATTGCCAATCTCTAAACTGTGTGAAACAATGTCAAATGTCTTCTGTTAATTAGGTACATTGAGGCGAGGGGCATACCATGATGATAAGGCAGCCTGTGATAATGTACTGCATGATGTCGACAATGCTGCAGCCATGACAAGTAATTCAGAATTTAGACCTTGAAATATCCTCTAAAAACTAGATTATATAATCAAATATTGCCAATCTCTAAACTGTGTGAAACAATGTCATATGTCTTCTGTTAATTAGGTACATTGAGGCAAGGGGCAAACCATGATGATAAGGCAGCCTGTGATGATGTACTGCATGATGTCGACAATGCTGCAGCCATGACAAGTAATTCAGAATTTAGACCTTGAAATATCCTCTAAAAACTAGATTATATAATCAAATATTGCCAATCTCTAAACTGTGTGAAACAATGTCAAATGTGTTCTGTTAATTAGGTACATTGAGGCGAGGGGCATCCAATGATGATAAGGCAGCCTGTAATAATGTACTGCATGATGTCGACAATGCTGCAGCCATGACAAGTAATTCAGAATTTAGACCTTGAAATATCCTCTAAAAACTAGATTATATAATCAAATATTGCCAATCTCTAAACTGTGTGAAACAATGTCATATGTCTTCTGTTAATTAGGTACATTGAGGCGAGGGGCATCCAATGATGATGAGGCAGCCTGTGATGATGTACTGCATGACGTTGATAATGCTGCAGCCATGACAAGTAATTCAGAATTTAGACCTTGAAATATCCTCTAAAAACTAGATTATATAATCAAATATTGCCAATCTCTAAACTGTGTGAAACAATGTCATATGTCTTCTGTTAATTAGGTACATTGAGGCGAGGGGCATACCATGATGATGAGGCAGCCTGTGATGATGTACTGCATGACGTTGATAATGCTGCAGCCATGACAAGTAATTCAGAATTTAGACCTTGAAATATCCTCTAAAAACTAGATTATATAATCAAATATTGCCAATCTCTAAACTGTGTGAAACAATGTCAAATGTCTTCTGTTAATTAGGTACATTGAGGCGAGGGGCATACCATGATGATAAGGCAGCCTGTGATGATGTACTGCATGAAGTAGAGAATGCTGCAGCCATGACAAGTAATTCAGAATTTAGACCTTGAAATATCCTCTAAAAACTAGATTATATAATCAAATATTGCCAATCTCTAAACTGTGTGAAACAATGTCAAATGTCTTCTGTTAATTACAGTAGGTACATTGAGGCGAGGGGCATACCATGATGATAAGGCAGCCTGTGATGATGTACTGCATGATGTCGACAATGCTGCAGCCATGACAAGTAATTCAGAATTTAGACCTTGAAATATCCTCTAAAAACTAGATTATATAATCAAATATTGCCAATCTCTAAACTGTGTGAAACAATGTCATATGTCTTCTGTTAATTAGGTACATTGAGGCGAGGGGCATCCAATGATGATGAGGCAGCCTGTGATGATGTACTGCATGACGTTGATAATGCTGCAGCCATGACAAGTAATTCAGAATTTAGACCTTGAAATATCCTCTAAAAACTAGATTATATAATCAAATATTGCCAATCTCTAAACTGTGTGAAACAATGTCATATGTCTTCTGTTAATTAGGTACATTGAGGCGAGGGGCATCCAATGATGATGAGGCAGCCTGTGATGATGTACTGCATGACGTTGATAATGCTGCAGCCATGACAAGTAATTCAGAATTTAGACCTTGAAATATCCTCTAAAAACTAGATTATATAATCAAATATTGCCAATCTCTAAACTGTGTGAAACAATGTCAAATGTCTTCTGTTAATTAGGTACATTGAGGCGAGGGGCATACCATGATGATAAGGCAGCCTGTGATGATGTACTGCATGATGTCGACAATGCTGCAGCCATGACAAGTAATTCAGAATTTAGACCTTGAAATATCCTCTAAAAACTAGATTATATAATCAAATATTGCCAATCTCTAAACTGTGTGAAACAATGTCAAATGTCTTCTGTTAATTAGGTACATTGAGGCGAGGGGCATACCATGATGATAAGGCAGCCTGTGATGATGTACTGCATGATGTCGACAATGCTGCAGCCATGACAAGTAATTCAGAATTTAGACCTTGAAATATCCTCTAAAAACTAGATTATATAATCAAATATTGCCAATCTCTAAACTGTGTGAAACAATGTCATATGTCTTCTGTTAATTAGGTACATTGAGGCGAGGGGCATCCAATGATGATGAGGCAGCCTGTAATGATGTACTGCATGACGTTGATAATGCTGCAGCCATGACAAGTAATTCAGAATTTAGACCTTGAAATATCCTCTAAAAACTAGATTATATAATCAAATATTGCCAATCTCTAAACTGTGTGAAACAATGTCATATGTCTTCTGTTAATTAGGTACATTGAGGCGAGGGGCATCCAATGATGATGAGGCAGCCTGTGATGATGTACTGCATGACGTTGATAATGCTGCAGCCATGACAAGTAATTCAGAATTTAGACCTTGAAATATCCTCTAAAAACTAGATTATATAATCAAATATTGCCAATCTCTAAACTGTGTGAAACAATGTCAAATGTCTTCTGTTAATTAGGTACATTGAGGCGAGGGGCATACCATGATGATAAGGCAGCCTGTGATGATGTACTGCATGATGTCGACAATGCTGCAGCCATGACAAGTAATTCAGAATTTAGACCTTGAAATATCCTCTAAAAACTAGATTATATAATCAAATATTGCCAATCTCTTAACTGTGTGAAACAATGTCAAATGTCTTCTGTTAATTAGGTACATTGAGGCGAGGGGCATACCATGATGATAAGGCAGCCTGTGATGATGTACTGCATGATGTCGACAATGCTGCAGCCATGACAAGTAATTCAGAAATTAGACCTTGAAATATCCTTTAAAAATTCTGTTACATAGAACTAGGTTATACGGTCAAATATTGCATTCTGTAAACTGTGTGAAACAATGTCATATGTCTTCTGTTCATTAGGTACATCAGGATTATTTAGGATAGGTACGGAAGTAAATGATGGCAAAGAGAACTATGAAGGTATGTAAATATTAAGCAAATAATCAATATTCTTACAGTCTCATAATTGCACTGATGTGTGCAAACAAATTTTCATAACACATTATCAATTTCTTTGCACCTGCTTTTGCAGTTATGAGACTATATCTTTCAAAAAATAATGAATCATTACTTTAATAGATGTAAAACTTTGATCCCTTAGTAATCAGGATCATTATTTGTACAAACCTGAATCAAAACCCATTATATCCATATACATGTATAATAAATCATCTGTCCTGCTCTTTTCCTCATTACTTGAATCTTGTTCAAATTTCTTTGTGAACAGCAACACCTAAAACAGATGATTTCCAATAATTAACTCAGTTTTATTTTTCCTTGCTGAATAGACAATGAAGAAAGGAATGAAAAAAAATCATGTAGAAGAAAACTGTTCACTGGATTAAGTGGTAAGAAATTTAACTGATTTCTTGAAATCTAACACAAAGAGGAGCCTACTTTTGATTGTCAATGGAAATCGTGGTAAATAATTTGTCTAGGTGCTGTTACAGACTAAAAATTTTAAGGAAAATATACTATATTTCACACTGTAAATTATTTTAAAAAATATTTTTCTGTAGATCCTCAGAATGTTTCAATTCATGATAGTGTGGTTGCAGTTAATGACATGAAAAATGCTGCAGTTTCAAACACAGCAAAAATAGGTAATTATACAGACTAGACGCATACAACCAAAATTTTAACATTGTTTAAAGTGCAAATTTTAAATTGCACCTTTGTAGCTTAATAAGAAATTTTGCATTCAAAACTTGACCTGTATTTCCTTTTGAAATACCTGCACATGCAAATTCAATCATATACAGATACATTCCTACAAATGTAATAGTGCAGAAACTGATAATTTCTTAATTAAATTCAATAGGGACAACTAAGTCGCATCTTGACCTACATATTCCTATATGTATGATGAATCTAATCTATATCTGTAAGTTAAATTCAAGTTGAAAATGAGCAACAGTTGAACTATGCAAGAAGAAGGATATGGAAATAACAAACAGTATTCAATCTCAACGTCCATTAAACAAATATACAAAATAAGAGCAGAGCAAACACGGACCTCCAAAACATCAGAGGTGGGATCAGGTGCCATGGAGGAGTGAGCATCCCCTGTCGACCGGTCACACCCGCTGTGTGCTTGTTGTCATTATCAGGAAATAACGGAAAAAATCTGTGGTCAATTCAGTGTATAAAAAATGGACTAACAATTGGTATGACAAACGTCAGTCAGCATTTCATTCAATGATAAATTGTATTTCCTGACAAGGTCATTGTATCGACCATAGAATTTACGAAATGACGACTTTAAACGAGACTGTTGATATTCTTGTTTCATCAACTTGCTTGTCAATAATTTACCTCGTTTAAGAAATTGTTCATGCGTAGAGCATGCTCTTGCATATCGAATCAACTGAGATATAAATACTCCGTATGCTGGTGATGAAGGTATATTGCTGCATAAGTAAGGGAAGTTGACGATAGAAAAGGTTAAAGTCATCACGTTTATCATATAGCTTGGTTGTTAGATTACCATTAGTGTCTTTTTCAAGTAAAATATCCAAGTATGAAGCAGAAGTGTCGGACTCTGTGGTATCTTTTATCTCAAGCTCACCAGGAAATATCGTGTCGACGTAGGAATGGAAATTATCATTATTAATTGACAATACGTCGTCGATATATCTAAATAATTTAATTTCACTTGTATCAAGCTATCTCATTGGCTGAATCATTCAGAGGAACATATAATATTTTGGATAACATAACTTGCCTACGTCACAATGAGTTACGTCAAAAACGTATTACTCCGCTTGACGTTACTTTTCAAATAATGCTCAATTTGAAGCCTTATTCTGGAGGAAAAAATGTCTTATTGTCTATACTGAAATTAAATTATAAGGAATGAAGCTATTTTCAACTTATGTTATACGATATAACAAAACTTGGGGCAGTTTACGCTTTCTTATAAACCGCTTCGCGGTTTATAAAGCGTAAACTGCCCCCAGTTATGTTAAATCGTATAACATAAGTTGAAAATAGCTTCATTCCTTAAATGTCGAGTTGAAGGCCACAGCAAGTGTTTTCTTCTTTTCACGCATAAGATTTTGCATAAATTCCGCTTCATATGAATATAAAAATAAGTCTGCTAATAATTATTGCTCAATTATTGATCAGGAATCAATGATATGATATAATGACAGCGACTGATCAGGCAACACTATATGCAGCCGGGAGTCCTACCAACATCTTATAATATATAAAATTGATACCATACCTTTTAAATTACTTACCTTATTTCTCCAAATGAAGTACAATCCTTGTTATGGGAACCTAAACGCATGATCGCTAGTTTTGTCTGAAAACTACCTTTGTGAACAGCAACACCTAAAATAGATGTTTTAATGCAGTTTTTCCATTGAATAGATAATGAAGAATCAAAAGAAAGAAGATACCCATGTAAAAGAAAACTGTTCAATGAATTAAGGGGTAAAAATTTTAAATATTCTTACATTATACACAAAGTCAATATTCAAATTTGATGAAGTTGAAATGCTTTCTACTGCCATCTTATTAAATACTATACATTTACCATACATTTATTAACCAACCTTAAAATATAATCCTCAGGTCCATTCCTGTTAAACAACATTGAATGCAAATGAGATTACGCTCCATTCATTGTGCGCCATGTGTGGTCCAACATCTCACTCAGCAGTCCAACATCAAATTTTTCTTGTCCGCCCTGTAAAACATTCTGAATGTTATACATGTTATAGATTCTTATACGAACAAATTTAAAAAAGTAGAACAATAGTATTTTTTTAATGCTTTCAATTTATTGATAAATATTTCTATCTTATTATATTCATTCTGTGATTGTAAAAACCAACATGGCACATTGTTTAGAGCGTCTGCTCTAGAGTTCCAAAGTATGGAGTTGATCCTTACGTCACAGGTTTGAATCCAACTGTGAGATGTGGAGACTGGTCCTTCTTATAAGAACGTATAAACCGAGTTCCCCTGTTGCATTAGGTGCTGGCACTAAAAGATCCCCTTTCATCAGTCAATGACCCTGAGTGTTAAGTATAAGACAAAATCTGCAGCTCTCCAATGGCAAGTAGTAGTGTCTGTATATACGTGAAAATTTCTTGAGAGGGAGGTTAACAATATGTAATCAATGAGTCAAGGATATTTCGGGTTTAAACATGGGTAATCGGAGATTACAGAGCTCATTGAATGTTGTCCCACAATGAACCAACTACAAAAGGCCCATGGGCCACATCGCTCACCTGAGCATTGTGGCTAGGAAAAAGTAGAAAAGCAGAAATTGGTTTATCATTGAAAAGTTTAAATCCAAAAGATAGTAGTCCCGTGACCAATCATGACTTTGGATTTTTAAAGAATTTTCCTATATATTCCTATGTAAAACTTTGGTCAGCCATTTTGACCCCGTACTTCCCCCAAGGGTCATGATTTGAACAAACTTGAATCTACACTACCTGAGGATGCTTCCATATAAATGTGATGAATTACGGCTTTGACATTCTTGAGATGAAAATTTTTAAAGAATTTTCCTATATATTTCTTTGTAAAACTTTGGTTGGCTATTTTGGCCCGCACTACCCCGGGGGGTCATGATTTGAACAAACTTAAACTACACTACCTGAGGATGCTTCCATATAAATATAATGAATTACGGCTTTGTCATTCTTGAGAAAAAGATTTTAAAAGAATTTTCCTGTATATTTCAATGTAAAACTTCGGTCCGCTATTTTGGCGCCACCCTACCCCCGGGGTTCATGATTTGAACAAACTTGAATCTACAATATCTGAGGATGTTTCCCCATTATTTTCATCTTTCCTGGGACAGTGGTTCTTGAGAAGATTTTTAAAACATACCACCAAATTTTCATTAATTCCAAATTATCTCACCTTGAATGAGAGCATGGTCCTTCATTTGAACAAACTTGAATCCCCTTCACCCAAGAATGCTTTGTTGCAAGTTTGGTCAAAATTAGCCCAGCGGTTGTGAGAATAAGTTGAAAATGTGAAATGTTTACAGACAGATGGACAGAGAGACGGACGCCAGAAAAAATGTGATCAGAATCACTTGAGCCTTCTGCTCAGGTGAGCTAAAGACACCTTTTAAATCACTTACTTTCATTCTCTTCAAAAATAATTCTTTTTGTTCTTATCTTCACCATGTTCACTACAGGAATATTAATCAAATTTCGTTGTCTATGGCAACACCTAAAAAAAACAAGCATTCTAAGAGTATTGCATAAGCAATATATGTCCCCTACTGGGTTCCCCTTTTTCTTCAGGATGTCATTTTATAATAAGCAAGGTAAAACTGAAAGATTTTCAAGTTGTAAATGCCTTAAAACTAATAAAATAATCCACATTAAGACGAAAATTTAACTCATTTCTCCACCGTCTTTTCCTCGCTTCATATTTTTGTCGACAATCCTGATCTTAATTTAGCGATTATGAAAAATATTTAGTAGGGGACTAAAAATATGCTTTCCATTACATAAATCTGTTTCTGTTCAGATAATGAAGTATCTAATGAAGGAAGAAAATCCCGTAGAAGATCTAGCCATGAAAAAATAGGTAAAATTTCAATAACAGATGATACAAACAAAAAATGGATGCCTGCATTGGTAATACCTATATTTTTTGGCCTAATTTCATTGCAAATGATGCAAATAATAAATTTCTAGAATATTAAGAAATTGTTAACCTTCTGTGATGTTCAAAAGTCTATCCTTCTGAAACCATCCTTATTAATCTATACAAAAATTTTTCACTTCAAAATCCCTTTTTGTGCAAATTTGAATAAAAAATTAAAAACTATGCGGTGAAAGTTATTCATTTTAATCATTTAAACCTTACCCAAGTTGTTATTTTCAAATTCTTTGACAAAAATTTGTATCATCTGTCCTTAAATTGACATATTTAAACATGTTAAAATTGCATGGATGAAAATTAAGTTAAGCATATAAGACTCTTGATTCATTTGATCAGAATTATTGCAAAAGAATTGCCACTGTAAGTTTTGCTTTTCTTTAAACAGTTAATTTTTGTGCATATATCCTGGCTTAATATATATTAATTTTACTTTAAGGATCAGATTATATGTCATCTTCTGATACACATAAGCAAAACAAGATGGAAAAAATTCTTGCAAAAGGAAAAAATGAAAAAGGTAAATTCAGAAAGTCACTTGTGTCTTTGCAAATTCATAAGATCAATTTACTCAGAAGTACTGAAAGCTGGGCTCATTTAAAGGGTAATGAACTATGATTGCGACGGCAGTTTAAAAACAAGCCGATCCAGACAAAGAGAGATTGTATATCTATGTATCATTTAGCATTAAAGTTTCAAAAATTAATTAAAATGTAGCTAAATTTTAACAGCATAAAATTTTTGTCATGTGTATAGTTTCAGGGTTTTATATACCAAAGGAAGTAAATAAACACTGATGCAGCAAGATTATTTAAGGTCAAGCAATTATGCACAGATTTGTTCCCAGCGGGGAGTTTTGCATAAAAGCATACTGCAAGTCATTAATGATGTTCCCCGCATTTGTGATAACCTGATATTACAATCTTCATTTATAGAATATGACGCAGACAGGGATACCTGATGAAAACTTTTTGCTAATTTTAAGGATTTCCATCCCTAATGGGACCTAATTCTCTACCCTTGAATGTACGTCAAGTTAATAATACACTGATATTATATTAAAGCATTTTATAGTGGAAAAGGATTGCCCGCGAGAAAATTTTAGAAATGTCATTAATTAAGCAGTTGTTAATTAAAAAAGATTGCATTGAAGTCTATGGGGAAAAGCGTTTTTTCAAAATAAAAATTCAAATAATTTGAATATCAATAAATCCTGCGGTGGAAAGATGCATTGAAACATTAAGAATAGAATGACAATTGAAAACAATTTTTTTACCGGCTGAATTTATTTAAATTAATTTTTTTTATTAATTAAAAAAAGGGGAGATAACTCTTACCAAACCTCAAGGTTATAAATTAGGACAGATCCCACTATACATACTAATAGTAATAAATGGGAAGCATGTCTAAACAAACTGAGTTTTCAATGCCTATACATCTGTAATGTATTCAATTTCACTGAATTTCTTCCCATTAGGGATTGAATACCTTAAGCAAATAATTAACCTTTGAAGACAATAGAAAGTATTTTCTTATAATTATATTTTTTGAAAATTTCAGATAACTTTGAAAGTCTATTTCAGTGTTTGTATTGCCTCAAATGTGATTGCGCAAACATACTATATTCTTACTCGTAAATTTAATTTGGCGATGATGAAGCAGCATTTCCGGTTGAAGGATCATGTGAAAACCTTTTAAATTGCTTTGCAAAACATTAGTCAAAGGAGCCAAGAAAAATATTAAACAATTTAATATTTTGAAAAAAAATATTACTACATGTATTTCTTAAAGTGTTTGAATGTATTTTGTTTTCCTAAAAGCAGCTGGGCATACATACTACATTTTTACTGGTAAACTCAATTTGGCAGTACAGAGGCAGCATTTTCTGTTGCTCACCGTCGCAATAGCCGGGCATTGCTCTACGAGCAATGAGCCTGGCTAAAAATCTTATAGCAAGATTAACAAGAGTGTCAGTAACGTAATGAGATATATCAGATAAACTCTAACTTGAGTGAAATATCATGATACCTGTACTTATTTTATCCTTGTTTCCACACTTAGAGAGACATCAGGACTCGATGACATTCAAGATATCCTGCCTTCTCCCAGGTGATCCCACTGTCCAAGAATATGCCAAATACAGACGGCTATTGAAACGTCAACCAGGAGACAAAACCCTTCAACAATCTTGTGAGGTGGCTTTGACCAAGCTTCAGCTGGCAGTAAGCAGGAGGCATTCACAGCTGACGTCAACCGGCAATGACAAATTCTTAAAAAAATACGCAGAAGAATTAATGAGACAATGGGGGATGTATTTCTATTAATAATTACTACTTAGACTATAAACATGATAAATGTATTACAGCAAAATTATTTCAAAAAATTCTTTGGGGTTAATTAACGTATGAGGGCCGTTCAAAGCTTGTTGCACAGTAAAAATATTTAATACATAATCGGGTAAAATGTCACCCATAATATATACGAATCTTTACTTACATGATCTTCAAAATTTCATATCAAAATGTTGTAAATGGGTATCAATTTTGGATGATTAATCCGAACATATCATTAAAGATTAAGAAAGCTATAAACACTAACAGAAACTTTTTTTTTGGAGAAAATGTATCATGTATGCATTTACATATTGAGACTTTTTCATTCCTTTAGAACATAAAGGTGAGTGCCTTATTTGCATAGGAAAAATGTTTAATCACCATCACCAGAAATCTCCATTGCATTGATTGTTTACTTATGTGATCAAATCTTCTGAGAAGGCATCACGTGTAGGGCTGTGTATTGAGCCAAAAATTTCGATATGATACAATATTTTTTAAAGCGATATGCGATATATTGGATTCTGAAAAAAGTCCATCAGAAAAGGCTTGTAAACCATTTTAATGCATATACATTTCATAAGAATTAAGTGTTTTATTACCCATTTTAAAGTTCTTGTCTCATTGTCTTTAAAAATAACACTTCAATTAAAACTTTTGACGTCAGTAAAATCAACATGTTCAATTTTCTCTTTGTATTTTGTAATAATTATAAAAACACTGTGTTATTTCCTTAGAATTTATATAATTATTGAAGGTTTTAATTCAGAAAAATAAATATAATCCTTGTTGATTGAAATTCCCATCTTTTACACAGAATTTGAAGAAAAAAATGTCTGTCCGATATGTATTGGAAGTTACTTTTCGATACGATATTTTCCTTGAATATCGATACGTATCGATATATCAATATATTGATACAGCCCTAATCACGTGACCGACCCAATTTAATTTCCAGTTAATATACATTTATTTTTCAACAGCCCTCATACATACATATGTATATTTCTATACATGTATTAATAAAAGTATTACATATAAATGTATTCTAAAAAATTTAAAGACGAGAACAGCATTATTTATATGCAACAACATATTGTTCAACACTGACTAATTCATGGAAAAATAAAGACTGTAAAATACAGATAAACTTCGTTATCTTGACATTGGCGGGGCAATCGGGAAGTTCGAGATATCCGAGTTGAGGCTCGACGTCCTCAGGGCTAGACATATAGCACTGCCCGACGCCCGGGACAACCAGTTTTGGTTGGTGGGCAAGTAATTTGATAACAGGTGCCTGTCCGTGGACAAATTGTTTTCCAATTAACTAAAAAAAATTATACAATACTCAAACATATTTTATGTCTATGATTTTAAAGTATCATGAATCACAGCAAAGCACCTGTTTTCACTGATGTTGACTACTGCATCGGCTGTACATACATACATCGAATAAACGGAACTCCTTTAGAATTTACCCATTAACGTGTTGTAAAAATATGCATATGTCGTAAAACATGGAGTTATCGATGTCGTTAAAAACGTGGTATGGGAATTTAGACATTTATTGTCAAAATACATGTACTAAATTCATACTGTGAATACAGAATTTAGAGGTATTAAAATTGTTGTTGATTGTTGTTCCCTGGCAATCACACAGCACGCAGTATTGTTTTGTTCACAGACTCGTTTTGTTTGTAGGTTTTATGAGATTGATCAGTGTCCGATATCTTCATCTTTTTCCATTTAATAAACACAATATTATTTTTTTTTTAAGTGTACATGTGAAGTATTTTATTGCAGAATTTTAAGGAAAAATACTCCTTAAATTGAATCATTTTCATAGATCTAAATTTATCTGTGGAAGAATTTCGTGATTTTAGGTATCTCACTCAAGAAATAATTTAATATCAATGCTTCAGTTCTATGTATTTTGAGAAAACGGTTGGACAAGCAGATTTTTTTGTAGGACAAGTAGCTTTACGATAGTAACCTGTCCGAGGGTAAGTACTGAAAAAATCTATTTGTCTACCCCTGACGTCCCTAATAATTTAGTAACTGCTTAGTAAAACATACGAGGTGTAACTACTTAAAAACGTACAAGTCTTCAACATACTGTTGCTCGTTTGTTTCATAGAAAATCCGAGAAATTATTCACAAATTTGTGAAATGCTTCCCTTTTAATGGTAATCTGCTAATTTTACTAATAAAAGCTTTCCAGTCAGCCTTCGGGATGCAACTTGCTTTTTCAGAATAGGCTACGAAATGTGGTCTATAAAGTCCAAACCATAACTGTAAAAATTTGACTTCCATGATACGAAAAAAATCAATGCCTATTATTTAAAAATCATTTGACTTTCCTCATTTTTATTTTTTATATTTCATCTTCATTTATCATGATTATTTTTCAGTTCATTTTCAAATCAAAATTTAAAAGGATTTGCGTATTAAATCAAACTCATTGATGATGTAATACATGAATTGCATGTATTTAACTGCTAGTGAATTGCATGTATATAACGGCTAGTTGTGCGCATTTCGTAGATTGGATTGTTTCCTGTTGAATGCATATTTAAAACTCCTAAGTTAAATTGAATTTAATGTGTGTATTCTTTTTCTTAATTTTTTTAATGTTAAAGATTTGTTAGATTTCGACATAAATAAATGGTTGTAAATTTATGCCGAATTGAGCAGATTTGTTAATATTACCCAAGCTGAACAGGTGAAGTGAACATTACACAATTGACAATTCGGAGACACCGAGGGGCTTGAAATTCCTCCACAAACATATTTCTATATACAGAGACAGTATGTATGTAATCAAACCACGAGTACGAAAGGTGTGAATTTTTCATAACGTTGAAATATACAGAAGTGTCCATGCGTGACAATTGACCAGTTGACAAACTTTTTATTTAAGAAGAGCAGAAAATGTCCTGATGTTGACATATACCACCTCTTGTAAAGTCCGATTATCGTGTAGAAAATAATTTTTTAAAAAGATAGCTTAATAATTTGTGATTTTATGAATTTTCTTAATATGTCTGAAATTCAGAAACCATTAATTAATTTCATGTGTTTCCACAAGAATGCTCGAGACAATATTCAATGGAGGCTGCTAGTAATTAACACCGAATCACTCCAGTATGACCCCATTTGACACTGTTTGGCCATTGTCATTGGGTCGAGATGTCAATGGGTCGCAGTGGATGGAGTTGTCTGATAATATGAGTACCACTATCATTTCAAGCCACAGTTTGGATTCTGCACATACATAATATTGCTTTCTTTCAGAATGGGAGAGAATCATACATTTTGGTCGTGGTTTGCGACGATGGGATAGTCCAGTCAACTCATTTCATGCCATGAATAGGAATTGAATTCCTTTTTCTTTCTTCGTAAAGATCTTTTCTTTCATTTATTTTAGAGTAATTGTAATCAAAAAAGTTTGACAGAAATCGACAATAGGTGAAAAGACATTTTTTAACGGATGTCGAGTTTTAATTCGGGCACGTTTAGTAACAGGTTTACATTATATGCATTGGGTATGCAGCTTTTAAAGACCACGTGTTAAAAGTTAACTACCAGATTTAAAAAAAATGACTGTTGTGATAATTCTGCCACACAATGAATAGTTACCAAGAGCATGTTTAACAGGGGAAGTATTTGTTGATATTTATGCCTAGCAAAAATGCTTTACATTTGTGTACTTGTGCAGTGCTAGTCAGCTATCGCCAAGTATCGGAGCTCGTAATCCACCAATTTCACCATTAAAACAAGTGTTATATCATTAATCACAGGGCAAATTAATATAATTGCATAATAAAAACATCATGTATACACATTTCAGGCTTACCAAAACTCAGTTATATGCATTCATCCTTGATAGGTGATGATGTTTTCCAGCTAACCGCTCATCGCACCTGTCATGTCTTCCTCTCTTGCCATGTGCGTTTTTCAAGCGTCGCGAGGACGTAGATAGGCAATCAAACGATAAGAAAATTTCGTATTTTTTAAAAAATATGTCGCTATTTGAAGACAAATATGTTGAAAAATATATTGTTGATTAAAATGGAATTTAAAAAATATTTCATAATTTGGTGTATTTCAATCTAAGGAAATATTTTAGAGATTTACGAATTTCCTCATTAATATTCATGAGATGGGCGGAGCTACAGGTCCTCTCAGCGCGAGCTAAAAATCGCTTGTTTCCTTAACGTAGCTGAGTAAATACTTTAATATTCAGTGTATTAAAAATACAGATTGTGTAGACAAGATGATATGGTCATGACGCAAATGCACACACATGTGCACGCGTGCAATGCTAAAGTTTAAATGATTTTTGTACACTTCTTTGTAAATATTGTTAAAATCTCAGATGCATAGAATTTGTCTTATTTAATGAAGCTTACAGGGAATATGACACCAAAAGGGAGTTGGGGAGCGTTTGGGGAACATCTGTAACGGTCCCCGTTACAATTAGCACTAGTTTCCATAGTTTTTATTCATTCATAAATCCTTGGATCCACGCCTACAGGTGCGCAAAGCCTTGATCACTACTGTAAACAAAACATTCATATCGCCGAAAATGTTCATGATTCCGCTAAACTGAGAAAGTTTACACATGATTTATCATCTCATAAGAAACATCAGCCCTGTGCAATGCAGAAATGCTGGAATTGAAGGGGAAAATCCAGGAGTTATTGGTGGGAAAAATTCGGGAGTTATTATGTCGCCCCGAACGAAGTCGGGGACGACATATTGATATTGTACGCATGTTTTTTTATCCAGGCTGTTTCTCGGAGATGGCTGGGACAATCTTCCTGAAATTTTCCCCGAAGGACTATCACTGGTTGTAGTTGTGCAGTGAGGTCGTTCAGTTCCAATATGTCTACCGTTGCCATGGAAACCTGTAAAAAGCGACGAATTTTGTCCGAGAGTGTTCTCTCTGGTCCCTTAAACGTTCGTCATGAAACTCTTTTTATTTTAATGATTAGTATCTGTAGTTGTGCGCTTTGCATTTAAAATTTTCAAATAATCGATTATTGCCATGGAAACCAGGGGAATGTTAAAATTCTTTAATTTCGATTTTCTCAATAACTACTCAAGCAATCGTTTTGAAACTTTCAATGTTAATTCCTTGCAATGTGTCAAAGTGATTTCTACTTTTAAAATAATTGAAATGAGTCGCT